TAATTCAACAGTGAACCTAAAAATTTTATAGCCACTTTTGAAAGAGATGTATCTTTGCTCTGGAAACTGTTATTGAGTATGTTAAAGCTTAATGAAATGCTTCTTCAAAAAATAAAAAATATATATATAATAAAAAAAGAGAAAACTGGCTGAGTTGTTCATGCCTAGTTGCTAATTGACACAAAGAATTCAATATAAATACAGTACTTTTTATATGGCTCCTGGTTTAGTTATCAGATTAAAAACTGGGCGTGGTGGTGCATAGCTTTAATCCCAGCACTTGAGAGGCAGAGGCAGGCAGATCACTGAGATTGAGGCCAACCTGGTCTATGCAAGTTCCAGGCCAACTGGGGCTCAAGAGAGACCTTGTCTGAAAAACAAACAAACAAAAAAGTAGTAAGTCTAGGGGCTGGAGAGACGGCTCAGCAGTAGAGAGTGCTGGCTGCTCTTGCAGAGGATCCAGGTCCAGTTCCCAGCATCCACATGGTGGCTAACTATCTATAAATCCAGTTCCGTCACCCTTTTGTAGCTTCCAAGGGCAGCAGGCATGTACATGGTACACATGCATACATGCAGGCAAACACTCATACACATAAAAGATTTTCAAAGTAGTAGTAAGTCTAATAGAGGCAAACACATTATTAAAATGGGTAGTGATAACACCCAGCCTAGACTGCAGGAGGAGCATTAAGAGCTGCACATTTGATGGATCTCCTACATTTCAGAAGATGCACAGAGAGAATTCTTGAAGGTTTCTGTCAGTTTTTTCAGATTGACTCATTTGATTTCAAAGTATCAAGCACTTTTAATTTTTTAAATGTATGTGTGTGTGTGTGTGTGTGTGTGTGTGTGTGTGTGTGTGTCTGCTTGTCTGTATCTGTGCCATCTACATGCAGAGGTCTGCAGAGGCCACAAGAGGGTGCTAGAACCCCTGGAACGGAATTTACAGGCAGTTGTGAGCTGCCATGGGTGCTGGAAACTGAACCCAGTTCCTCTGTAAGAGCAGCAAGTACTCTTATCTGCTGAGCCCCAGTATAAAGAACTTTTGATGGGAGATTAATTCATTATTTCTTCTCTGCACTCCAGTGATAATACATATAATACAGCAACAATGAGTGTACTCTTAATTGTTAGTGTCTGAAGTCTCTGAGTGCATTTCTGTTCATTTCTTTGTCTCCTTTCATACACAGAGGAAACGCTGGGTATAGGTCATGTAGCTAGTTTTCTAGTCTTCAGAGCGCACATCCTTCAAGTTAAGACAGCAAGCAGCACAGAGGATTCCCAGCCAAGTCCACTGTGACCTGAGGCTAAATTAAGATACTGCTTTATTTATTTATGTGCTTTTTGCTTTCTGTTGTTATTCCTTTTACGTCATAGTAAAAATGGGAATTCAATAAGGCTGTTAAGAGTAGATACATGACATCAGTGCAGAGGGCCAGCTGACCATGTGTAAGGGAGAGCAGGCATGCCATGTGGCGTGGCAGAGGTCAACTGAGGACATGGACGTGCACATCAGACCTGTCTTGATTTGAGCCCTGGCTCCTGCACATAAGTTACTTTACGTACACTGATTTTAATACTGGAGAAAGGGAGCACACACCTCCATCTGGTAGCGGCACTGTATTGGAAATAGTAGCCTGCCCTCATGACTGGAAAGGATTCATTAAGAATATCCATGCCATGCGTTAGGTATGACAGCCAGGTACTGACAAGGGAACTGAATACAGGACTATGGGATTCGGAAAGGCAACCTGGCCTGAAATGTCGATTTGTAAGATTTAGCATAAAGGTGATTAGGGAAGTAACTGAAGATTGTATGTGAGAGGCTTAGTCCACGTGGACTGTGAGCATTCCCAGTGTGAAGGCTGTACAGTGCAGAATCCTTACTACAAAGGACAGCATTTTATTGCTCTCACATAGTTGGAAGTCACGGTGTGTTTTCTATGACATCCATCCAGATGTTTATGTGGTTTTAGCATGCGCACAGTTTGTACACCGTTTGATCCTGGCTTTCTTTAGGCAGTTGAGCTCCTGAGGCCAGCGGGAGTGCTGGTTTACAGCACATGCACGGTAACTCTGGCCGAAAATGAAGAACAAGTTGCCTGGGCCCTCACAGCCTTCCCGTGCCTTCAGCTCCAAGCCCAGGTGAGACCATTTCCATTTCCCTATGTAATCTGGTAACTCTCAGAACATGGAGTGCAGTGGCACATACAGGGTGTTATGAAAACACAAGTGAAGATGATGGGGCACACTGTCTTCACAAGAATATTTCTGTATTCAAATCCACTTTAGCCTGAGCACAGGGATTTGCACATCCTGGTGACAAAGTTTTTCCTCCTCTCTGTACTCTGCCACTGTGTAAAGTGGGTCAGAGCTTGAGGATACTTTTGCAGTCGTTTATTCTGCTTACTGTTGCTAACAGTGTACCTCTTAAAATGGCTTTTTGTTTCCTTTCCAGTCCTACATGTTTTCTGATTTGGGAAAAGTGGAGCATTTTTTTCCTTTCTGCCACATCAGGTCGCAAACATACTTTCACAGCCGTGGGCTGTGAGATACCAAAGACTGCCAAGGGGACAAAAAGTGCCTCTCTGTAGTCTTTACATGACATATATGATATTTGTAAATCTCCTTTGTAATTTGTTTCAAAAAGCACTAGTCTTATTCTGTTATAACTTTTATTAAGACAATTTGATTCAGCTTTGAGATAATCAAATCAATAATGATGATACTCCCATTCAGAGGCATTAAACATCCGGCCGCTTTGGTTCCTATACAGAATTCAAGTAGGTAATCAGAATACAGTGATGAGGACAACCTGGAAATGGTTCCTGGACTCAAAATTCAAGATAACTGCATTGTAGATGAAGACTTTGGACTACAGGGAAGTGGTATAAAGAAGTAAACACATACATTCCATCACTTCCATGGATAATTAGGTTTTCTTAACATAGTTTCTTCTGAAAACCTGCCTACATTAACATATGAACACTTGTCTATGAAATGCTAGCTTATTAGCTTATGGATCTTTGGCACCAGTAATCTTCAATCACTAAGTTCCTTATGACTGTGTAGTCCTTTAAACTAGATGGTACATCCTTAGTTGATGTATCCTCTTCTAATGTGCGTTCTTCTAGTGCACTTAAAACAAAACTTTTATCATAGAGTGGGTGTGGTTAAAGGCCTTTTATTTTTCTAACACACATGGGGAGGTTGGACAACTTGTGGGAGTCAGTTCTCTCCTACCATGGGGGTCCGTCAGGAGCCCTACCCACTGAGTGATCCCACCAGTCCTAGGAAAGGCATTTTCGGTTCTTAAGGGACTTCTTTCACTTTTAGAAAATGATGAAAGTGTTCTTTTGCTTTATTGATAAAGTTGCACTTATTGAGTGTCCACAGTATGCCACGCCTGATATCACTGTCCTCATTTAAGAACTGAGTATTTTATCTATTTCTTATGTAAGGAAAGGGGAGTTGGGTTAAGGCATCATAGCTGAAGTGTGCTAGACGTCATGCAGTGTCCTTGTAGTTGATGAGCATGTGGGTTGATACGTATTCTTTCATCAGGTGGTCATATATTACAACTCCCACACTCCCCAGAACATAGCATGTACATCCCACAGAAGTAAAAGTATTAACTCTTACTTCTGGAAGATGTCACACACTCAACTCCCTTTGTCTTTTAACTTTTTTTTTTTTACCAGGCCAACTTACAGTTTTAGGATATTCAGCCATTTTTACTCATTTTCCCATCAGGAACCACGGATTGGAGGAGAAGGAATGGTAGGAGCTGGCCTCTCGCCAGAGCAGCTGAAACAGCTGCAGCGGTTTGACCCATCTGCTGTGCTGTTACAGGACATGGACACCGAGTCTCTCAGAGACTCCAGAAGAGAAGACATGATTCTGCTGGCAAATAAGGATTGTATAGGTTTCTTTATTGCAAAATTTCTAAAATGTAAAAGCACAGGAGAGAAAGCTTCTCAGAAATGAAAATTCCAAAAATTTTCTGGTTTGTGGTGGTTTTTTTTTTCTTAAACCAAGTGTTGTCAGGCCAGCCTAGTGACAGCATGGTTGCTAAGGAAATAGGAAAATGCTTACAGTTTCCCTGGGATCAGACAAGAAGAAATGCATGTGTGCCCCTGGGGAGGGGGCAGTGCTGTGAAATTATAGCTTGGTTTATAAATGATTTGTTTTCTTAATGAATTTACTGAGTATAAAGAAAATGAGTTCTACTGGTCATGGTGGTACATGCCTTTAGTCACTTGAGTCACAACACTCAAGAGGCAGAGGCAGCAGATCTCTGTGAGATAGAGGCCAGGCTGGTCCCTATAGCAAGTTCCAAGCCAGCTGGGGCTACAGGGAGACCCTGTCTCAAAAACCAGTTCCTTGGATCTGTCTGGAACATATTTACTGTTGAAATCTATGTTTTAATGTGTGACTACTAGTCTTTCTAATGTGAAAAAAGAGTGAGTCTAAAAATGGCAGGATAAAATTGACATTTAATATGGCTATGAATATCCCCAAGTTGGTAAGTTACTTCAGAATTCAGGGCATGGGTGGTAGGTATAACATTGTGCACCGGTAGCTAAGGTAAGTAGGCTTGTTACCTGACCTCCTGCCCCCAACCCCACTTACTAATTCTAAATTGAGCCGCTTTTAATTTTTTAAGAAATATTATCACTGTGTGTGTATGATCTGTGTGACAGGGGGCTGTTCATGCCACAGCCTACATATGGAGGTCAGAGGACAATTTTCAGCAGTCAGTTCTCTGTCCACTTTGGGTTCTGAAGCTCAGACTCAGGTCATCAGACTTGAGTGGCAAGTGCTTCTATCTGCTGAGCTGCTAGAAACATGCTGGGTGAGGAGGAGAATGGGGGTGCTGGCACCAAGAACCCGCCCAGCACCTCCTGGGCCAGGGATTTCCCTGCTGAGCACAGTTTCACAGAACAACAGCTTCAGACAGCTCTGTCTTACCAA